CTTTGCAGATGGTAACAGTAAGTTAGGCTAGATGAGATGTATTCATATCAATATCAATTGAAGGTTACTGCTGTACATGTACACTAGGATGATGTAAATTTCTGTATATTTGGTTGATTGAGTTGATGAAGGTTCTTATAGTTTGCTTCTTCTATTTATAATTTATTCTTGTATTTGTCATTTACTAATATGGTATGCATGCAAGGTTTTCCCTGGCCTTCTGGGAAGCCACACTTATTTCTGCATCCATGAGCAGCATCTTAAGTATTCAAGAGATCTTCGATGGTTATGATGAAGAAAAATGTTATGACTTTTGGAACCATATGATATAGTAATCATGCATATGGCCAGTGTGTGACTATGATTTGGAGATATAAACTAATTGGATATGGATGTGGGTTGGATCAACTCCAATCCATCTCTCACCTGATTGTGAACCAGTGGGTTGGGATCTGAATCGCTTAGATGAAGTATCATACTTTGAACTGAGAGATTATCACTTCTCAGAAGTTAACCATATCGAGACCTCAGCCATGTAAAACAGTTTAAGCTAGTTCCTAGATGAATTATGTGTAAATTTAGTGACTCGTCTGTGATTTATAAGCAATGCCTGAATTTTTTTTAATTATCAGCTGTACAAATGGCTTTGTTAATTTGGAATCTTTAATAGTTATACAGTGGAATATATAGTTTTGTTCTAAGCAGCATCATGCAGCAGTTCCATTTGACTATTGCATTTCTTTTCTTTATCCTCCAAATATTGTTTATCCATTTGATTATTTTCAAGGCCCAGGAGCTATTACATATATACTGAAGAATTTGTGGGGAATTTATGATCTTCAACATGATATAATACTTTGCTAGAAGAATAAATTAATTTTCTGATGGATTTGACAGTAAATTCTTGGACACGATTTCAGTTGGTTCATGAACAGTTTATAGCACATAGTTTATTAAATCAGCATGTAGTATTTTTGATCTTTAAACACAGACTTGTTGTTTACTGAGATTCCATCAGTAAACCAATGAATGTTTATGGGGAGAATAGTCCTTAGCGAACATTTTTAGCTTCAGCATTCTTTTGTTTCAATTTGCTATTCCTCAGCGTCTGGTTTTCTAACCTGGTTGACTGTTCCATATATGCCTGGACCTGATTATTACCTAAAATGAAGCCTTTGTTTGGTGTTGTCAAACAAATTTTGCTGTTGAATAATAAATATTTTGCTGCTTGGACTTGATTATTACGTAAAATGAAGCCTTTGTTTGTTGTTGTCAAACAAATTTTGCTGTTGAAATGGATCTATCATAGTTTTCCTACCTTCAACCAACTCTGCTTAATTAAGTCCTTGGTCATTCTTCTCTTTCATTGGAAAGGATACTTAGAGTTTAATGGATACTATGAATGTTCTCGGTTGGCTACTTGAAGTTTAGAATAAGATCTCAGGAGGCCACAGCTTTCAACAAGTTGAAACAAAGTATGATATTTCTTGGATAAAAGATTAAGCAACTTGTGCTTATCATGCATCATGTGTTGATTTAATCAGTGCTTTCATTTTCCGAAACCATTTCTGCTAGTGGACCTGGAAAAATAATTTGGCTTCCATACAATGGTTCTGGAAACCGGCAGCAGTTTAACCACAAAACCAACAGCTTTGTTTGTATGTCATTTCTTGAATGTTTATACTGATTAATCTGGTCCATTGTTAACATCTGAACCATATTTTCATGATTTTTTGCATTAATTTCTTGGTTTAATTTATTCTTCATGTTGTTGATATGCCATTCGGAATCCATTATTTGTCAGAGTCTAAATGTCCCTTAGCTTTCTGCATCATGAATAAGTTGCATCTTGTATTATTGAATGGTCCCAGCAAGATGTCATGCATAGTAGTCAATTTCTTTTAATGAAATCCAGGCTTTGACCTACCTTCCTGAAACTTTATATGGTTGAAATGTTGGCTATTTGAATATGTTTTCATAGTTCTCATTGTCAATCAGAGTTTTCATTTACAATTGATTGTAACAGTTGTTATTCAAGCGATGATGATCAAATCCTTTGTGTTTATTGTTCTTTTGATGTATTTTATGTGCAAGTTCAACTCAAATCTGTTCCAACATGTTAATTCCATATACAATAGACCTTGTTAAAAACAATCTCCAGAAGATAATGTCTACATTGATCACAAAAACAGTAGGATCTAGATCAGAATGCTGTTGATACTAGAAGCTGTTCTTCTGTGTTTATTGGCTCAATATTTTAGGATCTGTATGATGTCATGTGATCAGTATATCTTATTTGTTCTCAAATATTATGTTTTTGTTTAACCTTTCTTGTTGTCATTTAAAACTTCCTAATTTTCTTTTTTGAGAAAAATATTTCTAGTGCTATTGCAATTAGATAAGTTAGTTTATATTTCTTTTGTAACTGCTTAGCCAATGTTATACTCATTTGTCTTCCACTTTGGATAGTTTGGTTTTCATAGTAACCCAAGAAGTATTGGTGGGATAAGCAGACTTAACTTTGGACTCTGCTGCAATGTTGCTTTCAACCAAAGGTTGAAATATTTATTGACCAGCTGGAATCACACCTCTGGGCTGTGGATGTTAATCTGCTTCTACTTTTTTGGTGGAAAGCAAGGGCTGTATATTTTCCTTCCATGACTATAACCTGGCTTCATGTTAAATGGAAGCATGGACCCAGCAACAGGTTTATCTAAATTAAGTGTTGAAGTCTCTCAATGGAGTAGGTTGGAATGAAAGAGAGTTTTTGTTTGCATCCACTTATCGCCTAACTATGACTTCCTTGCAGGCACATATTCTTTTAGTTCCATGAAGGGATCAACCACTTGAATGACCACACAACTATGTGGACTCTCAATATGTTGGTATGAATCATATGGAGAATATAGATGTTTGACCAAGCATCTGATATGATTATCTAGTGACAAGTCTGCTTTCGGAAAGTTGAAAGATCAATGGTCAAGGTTTGTGCCTCTGCATGTATTGCTCCTTGTAGGTTTGAGTTTCAGAGAATCCGTGTGTTTCAGCTAGTATTTTAAATATGGAAACCTTTTTTTCTTGTTGTTTTTCATCAGAACATGATAAATACCAAATTCTATGTTAGATTCTACAATTATTTAACTGTGGAGTTTGTGATCTTGTAGTTGTTAGATTCAGCGGAAAAGATGACACATATTGGATCAATATCTTAAGTTGATATAATTATTGATATGGAATGAATACTTTTTTTATATTAAAGTCTATGACTTAGCTTTATACTTGTGGTTTTGGTTGTGATGTATTAGAGCTACAAAAGCTTTTTCTGAATGGATTCAAAATATGTATGACTAGAAACCACATATAGTTTCTTCACATGATTTAATATATCATAGATTATCGTTATGAGCGATGTTGCCATTTCATTTTGCCTCACTTCAGATCAGGAGTGAGGAACTATCTGTGTGATTTTTATTAATTTGATCACATTTCTGTTGTTTACTGCCATTAATTCTTATTACTGATCTCTTTGTACACATTTCTTATTACTAGTCTTAAGTAGGACATGTATTCATATTATTATTATTATTATTATTATTTTTAGAAGGTGATTTATTGGACGAAATTAATTAGGTGGATGGGTTGTGTTATCCACCTAATTAATTAGACTATATGGTGCTCTATAGTTTATCCAAATCAGAACAAGCAATTATTCTGTGGCATTGAGAGAAAAAAATAAAATAAAATAAAAAGCTGGAGATATTAGAAAAATTAAATATCTGGGAGATCACCCAACATAGAAAGGTGTTGCAGAAGAATTTTGCATTTGTTTTTTCATAAAGTAAATAGAAAGCTAGCTGAGGATTAACTCAGAAAAAGTATACCAACTTTATAAAAGAAGATGCTCCAACTATTTTAGTCAATTCAATAGTTCCAAGAAAGCGACAGTAAATGTAAATGGAGCAGAGAGAGAGAGAGAGAGAGAGAGTAGGCAATCCATTGGACAGAGTCAGCCACTTGATGACATTCGTTCCAGGAAGAAAGAAGTTCTTGTTATTGCCTCTCCACCTGTCTCATCCTACACCGATGATGATATATTCATCACATCTTATGAGTAACTTTAAACTATAGTTGTTAGTTTAACTCAAGGATTGGCCCCCTCACCTGTCTGTCTGATGGACCATGTCATGTGACCAGCCAGTCATCAATATCTGTATCCCATTGGCTTCAGCAGCAATGGAAGGAGATGTTGCTATCAGAGAAGGGTGAGATGGGGAGGTGGCCTTCAGGTGCCAAAGATTCTTCAGAGCAGAGCACGTTCTACAGGAAGACAAGGAGGGCAACTACCCCACGTCAAACCTTTCAAGTGTGACACCTCCTTGGGGCATTGGTGGACAACACCCCCCCAGTTATGGCATGTAAAGTGGTGGGGCACTTACATCCCCCCTCCATCGGATGCCATGAATCCTTATCCTGTTAAAGGAACTGATGGCTCTACTAGTCGAGAAAATAAATTTAATATCAATATAAAATACTAATTTTAATAAGATTAGGCATTATTATTGATCACTATGTAGAAGCCAAGATTATGGAGGACGCAACTCAGGCTTGGCTCAATCAAGTTGATTGGCTTCTTCATATGCGGCATTGCCGCTTATATTATTGAACCGACCTTATGTTGCACCACGTGAAATGTTGATGTGTCATCTTCCTAAATCCAAGATTTTTAGTGAGTTTTTGTGGAGATGCCTCCTCCTCTACTAAATGGTGTTTATGCTACTTATTGCATGGGGCCATCAAGGATCCAACTCAGCATGAGACTGACTATTCATGTCATTTATCAGCAAGGAAAAAAGAAATATATAAAAGCCTCATCTTCTTCCCCCATTCATCACTTCTAACCCACCTTGAGCTCTTCTCCTCCTCTTCAGTAGGGTTGATTCCTTCCTCTTGTTCATGACCAAGTAAGCCCATCCACCCCCCCTCTCTCTCTCTCTCTCTCTCTCTCTCTCTCTCTTATCATCAGCATCAGCATCAGCATGAGCTTCTTGAGCATGGTGGAGGCGAGACTGCCGCCGGGGTTCAGGTTCCACCCACGGGACGAGGAGCTGGTTTGTGACTACCTCATGAAGAAGGTCAGCGGCGACGGTAGCCTGTGTGGTTGTCCGGCCATGATCGACGTTGACCTCAACAAGTGCGAGCCATGGCACCTTCCCGGTAAGGCCACCGTCATCGAATCTCTCTTATCAGCAACAGATACTTGCTTTCATGTTCCTGATTTGCGGCGACTTGGAATTCTGTGTGTGCAATAGCTGCTCTTTTCTCCCTTTTTTTTTCCAGGTTTAATTCTGAGTAAATGAACCGCTAGAGTTGTCTCTGCTTTAGGTTTCCTTTCTGCAAGATATCCTTCTCCAAATAAATATACTCCTTCTTTGGAGCTACAAATCCGATCTACTTTGCTCTTCGTCTTCTTCATACTTGTAGGCTGTTTAGCTACCTGGAAGCGGCTGCTGTGCGAGTAAAACTTGTGACTCCCATAAAAGAATACGACATGGATTCCTCTTGTTTGCCTCGCTCTTTAACTAGTATTCTTTACCTCATCCTCTGGCGTCCACAGAGCAGAGATCTAAAAGCAGGATCGATCCAAATCTTCATCTTTCTCAGTTAGGATATTTCCGCCCAACTGGTGCAACTTGCACACGTCCTGTCCTTCTCGTGGCCTTTTTATGCTACCCTAACAGTTCGGCCTCTTCTGCACTTCTTCTTCATGTATCTTAATCCATACACGGTGGCCTCCCACCTTCCTGTGCATGTTCCTTCGATCCATGTATTATTATTGCACTTCTTGGTAGCTTGGAACTTCCAACTTATTACGAGCCTAAACTGTAACCTAATTAAATAGAGCTTCGAATTCATATATAGTATGCATGTACTGTGTGATGAGGAGGACTCGTTGACAAAGCTCATCTTTTCTTTCCTTCGCCGTAGTCCTGCCGCTATTCCTTCTCTTCCATGAAACTAGGCTTTGAGATTGTGGATGAAGAACGAAAACTGCTACGAAGACATGCAACAATATCAACATTGTCGCAGAAATTAGTGTGCTAATGCATCATTCATATGAACTGAAACCAATGACAAGGTATTCGTGGGTGATGTTGTGGTCTTCTTCTTCTTCTTCTTCTTCGTCTTCGTCTTCTGTGGGACAGAGGTGGCATGTGTGGGCGGCAAGGAGTGGTACTTCTTCAGCCTCCCGGACAGGAAGTACGCCACCGGGCGGCGGACGAACCGAGCCACGGAATCAGGCTACTGGAAGGCGACGGGGAAAGACCGGCAGGTGAGCCGACGAGGAGTGCTCGTTGGCATGAGAAAGACGCTGGTGTTCTACCGAGGACGGGCTCCCAGGGGAAGGAAGACCGAGTGGGTCATCCATGAGTTCCGCATGGCAGCATCTGGCGATCCACACGAGTTCTCTCTCAAGGTCAATCGACACGCTAAACCTCATCTTATTGCATCATCTGCAATTGCTTTTACTGCATGCATGGGAGTCTTTAGAGAGCATGATGGTATCAGAACGATGCATCATCTGCGTCGCTCGCTCTTTCCTAAGAACTCTATGCAACTCCAACCGATTCGCTTTGAACAGGAAGATTGGGTCTTGTGTAGAGCATTCCACAAGAGCAGGGGAGTCACCTCCGACCCAGTAGCCACGGAGGCCGGCGACGACGACACACCCTCTTCCTCCCTCCCTCCTCTCATGGACAACCACAGCACCTTCCAACAAGCCCTGCCGAGCTCAGAAGGTTATCAGCAAGTGTCCTGCTTCTCCAACCTCAGCCCACACACAGCACCACAAGCAACTAGTGCACCTCCTCCTATCTCCATGGTGGAAAGAAGCCTCCAAACCATAAGCTCACCTCGTATGGGAGGATTACTTGACATGGGCTATTCTGATAAGGTCATACTCTCTGCGTTGAACCACCGCACCAAGTCTGAGGGCGATCCATGGAGGGAGGTCCCTCCAAGCATAGCTTCAAGAATCTTAGGTAGCTACATCAGTGGGAATGGCTCGCCATATATGTGGAACCCTTTTTAGTCAGGTTATGGAAATGTTGTTGTTCATGCACACACATAAACTCCATGGCTTATAGTTCTTATCATTGGACAGTGCTATTCCTCGTGCAGTGGGAAGAAGACGTATATTATGTTCGAGTTTGGCACATGCTTCTTGCGAGTGAACTCTAGTTCAGCAATGGTTAAGATCCAAGAAGAGGATCCAACATTAGTTTTCATTGCTTCGATCATAAATCCTAATGTGCAGTATCATGCGCTCAAGAAGAAACGCATTCCTTTTGTTTCTGGTGCAACATTCTCATTCTCTATTCCTAGAGAGAGAGAGAGAGAGATCTTTCTCATAGGTTTATGCTCACTTCTCATGATCATGGATATCAAGCTTTCGCTAAGATTGCTTACCCATGAGCTGGGACAAGGACAAGGATATCTGAGTTAGAATCCACATAGAGAGAGGAGCTCAAATGGACTGTGCTCTCTCTCTCTCTCTCTCTCTCTCTCTCTCTCGCTCCTCTGCCACCCAACAGGAGTAACA